AGGGCGGATTTAGGGGAGGGCAACATGAGTGGTCGTTTTTTACTTAAATTTTGATTTTTATATTATTATAAGTATAAAATAATATTTTAATAATAATAAAATTTTAGTATTAATAGTTAGTTCTTTCCTAAATTTTTTTTGTAATAGTTGTTTTTTTTGATTACATCCGAGTATCTCCACACCCGATACCATGTAAATAACCTTGAGATACAACACCCTAAAAGCTAGCTCAAAGGGTGAGAGTGCCCAAGGCCTTATAAACCTCACATCAGTTGCACATACAACCAATGTGGGACTATATTTCTCAACACGCCCCCTCACACGAGAGCCCACTGGGCTTGAAGGGTGGACAACATACAAGTCCACCTACATGTGGAAATTCCACTACAAGAGAAAGTGGGGGGCGACGAGGCTCTGATACCATGTAAATAACCTTGGGATACAACACCCTAAAAGCTAGCCCAAAGGGTGAGAGTGCCCAAGGCCTTATAAACCTCACATTAGTTGCACATACAACCAATGTGGGACTATATTTCTCAACAAGCCATGAGACTAATCCCTCGCCCCGGATTAGCGCACAAAGCAGTAAAGAGCTGGTCACGGAATGCTTTCCATTCACAAGAGTTGGGGTTCGAATCTCCAACTACTTGCTTAAGGGACGAGATGCTGCACTATCACGCCCACCCACTTGGTTACATTTTTTTTTTTTGTAATAGTTAACCCCTTTCATTCATTCATTTTATTAATATTTGTAACTCTGATATTTTATTTGTGTGTCTCATCGTAAAAAAATTTAAATCTGTCATATGATCGGAATAAAAGGTTTCAAATTAATCTCGTCCTTATTTCAAAATATTTTAAATTAAGGGGAGGAAATGAGAGACTATTATGTAATTCTGATCAAATTTTTTTATCTAATTAGAGTAAAATTCCTTTTTCAATTCTTGAAAACTACAATTATTATTCATTTACTTTCTAAGGAATTAATTTTATTAATTTGATCCCTTAAACTTATCTAATAAAATTAGTCCATTTGAGTCTAATGTCATTAACAGAAAAATGCTAGCCTACGAGATGTCATGCGACTCATGTCAACATCTATATTGTTGATTATCATTTTTGTTTTTCAATGGTGTTAGCTTGAACCACACGTCCGAACGAAATCATTGAGAAAACCGATAATTATTGATTTAAGTGTTAAAAAAATTATTTTTCTTAGTTAGAGGTCTAGAATTCAAACATTGGGTCTAATCATATTCGAACCAGATTAAGTTATATTATCAATATTAGAGAAATAAAAAAAAAAGTTTGAGAAGTAAAATTTCTAAATTCATTTCTTAAAATACTAAATTAACAATAAAAAAATGTTTTAAAGACTCAAAAAATTGTACTCTTTTGATTTCATGACAAGTTTAAAGGTTTTTTTTTTCAATTTGAAAGATCATAAGCACTCAAACAAGGAAGATGAAGTTTATTACAATTAATAGTTGTCGTTAACACATAAATAAAGGATAAAAAAAGGATAAAGAAAAAGTTTTTAATTCACACAACAAAGGATGAATATATGTTTATTTCTATGAGCATACAAGGATGCGGTGTGGTGCTTAAGAGCGTTACAACAACAACCGATTATCAAAGTCTTATCCCATGGGGTATAAACTAGGGGAACGATATTGTAACAATCAATTAGTATTACTACTAATGTTATTATTAATCAATTTCACCGTTAGATCGATTATGTTGATCCAACGGTTATATTTATTTCCATCTTTGTATGATTATGATTCCCCATATTTAATGCGATAGGAAATCATAACCATACAAAGGTAAAAGTAAATATAAAATATCAAATCCCAGGAATCATAACCATACAAAGATGGAAATAAATATAACTGTTGGATCAACATAATCGATCTAACCATAAAATTGATTGGTAATAACATTGATAGTAACACTAATTGATTGTTACAATATCATTCCCCATAAATTAGAGGCCAAATAATTTAAACAATAATACACGTACGCACACGCGTGCATACACACACACACACACATATATATGGAATATTATTTCTCATATTACATGAGATAATTTATCTCATGTAACAAATAAAAAAGTGAGTGAGACTCGCAAAGAAAAAGAGAAAGAAGGAAAACAAGTGAGTCCCACCCTTTTTTTTGTATGTTGCACGAGATGTCTCATATAATGGGGAGGGTTCTTTTGACTCCAGGGTAAAATTTAAAAGTCTTACTTTCCATTTCAGTTGTTGATGGATGGAAATCAACGGTTGTCATTTATAGTATAATTAATAATTAATTAATTAGTATGACTTCATAAACTATAACCGTTAGATGGACGAAAAACAACGGTAAAGATGGAGTGTAAGACTTGTAAATCTTACTCTGAAGTCAAAATATCTCTCTCCTATATATATATATATAGACATACGTAAAATTATTTCTACAATCGCTTTACCTACAACAATGATATGTGTATGATTATGATTCCCCTCGTTTAATGCTTTCATCTTTTGTATGGTTATGATTTTCACATTTAATACTTTCACGTATATATATGGCAAGTATTTGACTGCTGCAGCAGCTGCAGAAATGTAAACCCTATAAATATATATATATATATATATTGAATGTAGATAAGTTATCTACATTCGCTTTCAAAATGACGTTATTTTGAGTTGAAAAATTAAAAAATTATAATAAAAAAGACTATTATAACCTGAAATAAATTATAATTACAAAAATACCTTAATTTACTCCTCAAAATGACATCATTTTGGACTCAATGTAAATAAGTTATTTACATTGATTGTAGAAAAAGTGAATCCATATATATATATATATATATATATATATATATATATATAGGGAAATAGTTGTCTTATGTCACATAAGACAACTATCTTATGTTGCACGCTCATAGAATTTTGTGCCCATTTTTTCTTTTTTCTTTTTAAATTGTGGGCTCCACAACTTTGTTTCACCCACATAAGATACCTATCTTATGCAACATAAGATTAATAACTCTCATATATATATATATATGTGTATGTGTGTGTGAAACTCACAAAGGAGAAGAGAAAGAAAGGAAACAAGTGAGTCACACCCTTTTTTTTTTTGGTTTTTCAAGGTATCCTCCAGCCGGCAGCCGAAGACTAATCCTTTCGAGGCAGGAGATCACATTAAGTGGGTAAGCCTTTTCATACACACGGCCTAAGATCGAACTCATGTCAACATGCTTAAAGAACCCAGCTATCTACCAACTGTGTTGGGCTTTGTTGGTAAGTCACACCCATTTTTTATATGTTGCATAAGATGTCTTATGCAACATGAGAAACAATATTCATATCTCTCACACACACTATGTGGTTAATCTTTTCTTATGTTACATGAGAGAAAAATTTTCTCCTACATACCCATCGAAATTCGCAGCCCTTATTATTTTATTTTTTTTAAACTTAGTGGGTCTCACCGTGTGATGTTGTGCATGAGAAAAATCTTCTTTCATCTAACATGAGAAAAAATTAACACACACACACAAACATATCTATATAGGGATAATGTTCTCTTGTACCATAGACACAACCTTAGTGGGTTCTACACTTAAAAAAAAATGAAGGCACAAATTTCTATGGGTGTGTGGCATGAGAGATGCTTTCTCATGCCATATGAGAAAAATATTGCCCATATATATTTATGTATATATATAGGTTTTATTTTTCTCATGTTGCATGAGACAATTGTCTCATGCAACACAAAAAAAGGGATTGAGATCCACTTTTTTATTTTCTCTTTTTTTAATGGGTCCCACTCACTTTTTGTGTGTTGCATGAGACAATTTGTCTCATGCAACATGAGAAAAATAAAACCTATATATATATCCTTCATTGTGTGCGATATCTCGCTATATAAGTGTTGAAAGGAGACAGTGATATGGATCAAAACTCAAAAGGTGGATTCAACTTATAAAAGTGGATGCAAGATGTCTTTTAGGTGGAGAAGAGGGGTTTATATAGGTGAGAGATGTTCCCTAATGATATGAGAGAGAGTGAGCGCACAATTATTTTGCTCATTACCTTACTTTTACGAGTGAAGTTGCATACCACTCCACATACGTGGTGGGTTATGCAAGAGAGTGAGAAATATATTACATTAAAATGTATGCGTTTACAGTGTACCAAAAAAAATGTATGCATTTATTGTGAGAAGACAGAGATATGACCCTTGAGAACCTTTGCAGACCCAATACATTGGGTTGATTCGCAATATATATATGAGTTATGCTTATCTTATTTTATATGAGATAAATAACTTTTTCTACACACACAAAAAAGAATTGGGCCGCATCACTCTTTTTCTCTCTCCTTTTATATGTGGGTCTCATTTATAACTTTTTTTCTATAACATGAGATAACTTTTTTTCTATAACATAACAAAAGTATTTCTCTATATTTATAGGGATAACAACTTCTATTGTAAAGAGAAGCTATTATCCTCCGGCTAATACAATAATTAGGAGATAGAAGATTGGAAAAGGTGAGAGAAAAACAATTGAAACGGGGCCATCATTTGATGTATCTATAACATGAGTCATGAGAAGTGTAAAATCTATATATATATATATATATATATATATATATAGGTTAAAGAATATTTACGAACTTCGAGAAAGAACATGTAAGATTGAGGATAGGCCTGAGTATAGCCACATTACAAATGAATAACCTCAACAGACCAATTGGGCCAGAACCCATGAAACCCAACAAAGAATCCAACCCAACCCAACCCATGAAACATGTCTGCGACCCAGATAAAAATGAAGAAAGCACAAAAGATGAACATCAAACAGGTGGGTAGTGTGAGGATGCGAGTAAGAGTGAGGTCACATTAGAAATAGGGTTGGGTTCAATTAAGCATCACCGTCCGTCCACATGGCGATGAAAACTATGCAGCTTGCTTTGTAGTATATGTGGTAATGCAAATTGACAAGTTATAGAGAGAGAGAGAGAGTAGAGAAGCATAAGATCAATAAGAAACAATGAATGAATGAAAAAAGCTTTGTGTGATTTGTCAACTTAAATAACAGACACACACAACACAAACCCATGAATATAGCTATAACTATAAATCTTCCTTAATTTCTCCGCCCATTTTGCTTCTCATTATAAATAAATTCCTAAGCTTTTTCTCTTGCACTTCATTTCCATCATTCTTGGGTTTATCAAATGGCTACCCTTTTTCAGGCCACCCAATTGTCTGTCTCCAACAAGTTCCCTCTTCCTTCACATAGATCCCTCTCAGGTAGAGTAATTTATTTTTGGATACTAGTTTTTGAGTCACTGACTGGTCTTTGATTTTGGGTTGCTCTTTTAAGTTAATGGGGTTCTTGTGTACTGTACTCTGAGGAATCTAAATAAATTCGGGATTTTGATTCCAATTTTTGTTATTTTTCTTTTGATTAACTAGTTTCCTTTTCAGGGATAGTGCTATTGACTTTAAATTTTGTTCCTTTCATTTTGTGTGCAATCTTTGATTGATTCAGAGAGGAAAGCTAGCCTGTTTGTTGTCAGATCTGATTCAAGGGTGAGCCAGGTCCTGAACACAGGAGCTCGTAAGCATGAATTGTTGGTGACTAATGCAGTTGCAGTAAGTTCTCTCATCACTCCCTTTCCATTCCCATTTTTTGCAGTTTGGTTTGGGATCAATGAGATAGGATTTGCATTGTGTCATAAAGTTTTGTAAATTGTGTTTGTTGTTGTTTATAGACAAAGGGAGGCAGTTCTGTGGCTTCTACATCGAAACCTGGGTATGTCTCTTTCTGCAATCACTTGCTGTTGTTTTCCCATGTTATGCAATTTTAATCGTTCTCATATTTTTTATGTGAGATGAAGCTAAGTTGATATGTTCACACTTTTGCTGATAGATTGACCTCTTTATGTGATTTAGTGTAAATCAATGTCTCTGTTCCAGTCTTCTTCCTAAAATTATTTGTAAAAGTAATCTAATATGGTCTTGTCTATAAACACTTGGGCTATGCTTGGTTGGGGAGTGGTAATGGCAACGTATTTGAACACAATAGAATCTATGTGCGTTCACAATTTCCACTTTTCCATATTCACTCCAATTAAGCATAGCATTATAATGTTCTTGGTATAGATGAAAACGAAAGCATTGAAAACAAGGGAAAGCCGAAACATTGAAAACTTAACCTAAACTTCCTTACTTGTGAATGAGTAAAGAATGTGGGGAACTGGCTACCGCTTCATCTCATCGTCAGCACATTTTCACCCTCTTATAAATGAGATTAAAGTAGGTCCAGATTATAGTTACAATGCAATTAATCAATTTAGTTTATATCCTGGTTTGATTATAGGAGAAGGTTATATTTACCAACTTTTTGTTTACAAACTCTTACAAACTACACTATGTCTGACCGGTAATACACTCTTGAGTGAAGTATTACCGGTCAGACATAGTGTAATTTGCAAAAATTTGTAAACGAATCTTTTCCTTCGATTATAAATGCTTCCTAAAAGTGAAAAATGGTGCTAATGGTGGAGGGCAATTTTATTATTTTTAAATTTTGTGATGAATAAAAGGATATATTCCATCAGCAAAAAACAATACAACTCTGAAACAAAGAACAGATGTGCTCTGTGAACAGACTCATACATTCCTTTCTATGCATGCTATACTAAGACAAGCTAAAGCCATCCTATTACTACACAATTCGTACAAATGAAAATATTCATTAATCCTGCAATATTTACACAAATCTTAATTCACTGTGCTACAACCAACTCAAAGCAGAAAGTAATCTATCTATACTTCACATCCTTGCAAAGTTTAGTAAACACATCCTCACATTGTTTATCGTTGTTCTCAAAGAGTCAAGATTCCCTTGCCATTTTTCCTTCACTGAGGCAAGTGTCGCATGACATCAGTGCCATGAGGTGCAATCTCCCCAGTGCCATGAGGCGAGAGACACTTCTTGGCTGTGTGAACCTAGGGATTTTATTACAAACATGAAAAAAATAGAGACAGATGAAAATAAAATAAAATATCAGGACTCTCTTATTGAAGGGCCAAAACATTTTAAAAAAATGAGAAAAATAGTGAAGTTGAGACAGAAATATCTGAAAAATACAAGAATGGGAAAAACAAAAAATTGGAAAGGTGTTTGTTTGTGATTGGCGGCCCGTTGGTGTGGTAACTCAACTCTGAACCCTAGAGCCTTCAAAACTTTTGCATACATAGCCTTAGGCTTGAAGTTTAAACTCACTTTTTATGGGCCAAGGATCAGATTACCTTTATTGGTATCAAAGCTCACTACTTTACTGGGTGGGATTTTCACAACAGTCAATACATGATTGGTTGAAGTTGCTGAAAACATGCTTTGGCATTTTTATTTTTATTTTTTTGTCTTTTATTGGCTTTACTGGTTTTAAGAGTTATGACCAATAACGATGGAAATGACCAGATATGCATTTTATTCTTAGGCATGAACTTCTCCTTTTTGAAGCCCTACGTGAAGGTTTGGAGGAAGAAATGGACAGGGATCCTTGTGTATGTGTCATAGGTGAAGATGTAGGTCACTATGGAGGATCTTACAAGGTGAGCAGAGGCCTGGCCACAAAGTTTGGTGACCTCAGAGTTTTGGACACTCCTATTGCTGAGAACTCCTTCACAGGCATGGGCATTGGAGCTGCCATGACTGGTCTGAGGCCAATTGTTGAGGGCATGAACATGGGATTTCTACTTTTGGCATTTAACCAGATATCTAACAATTGTGGCATGCTCCATTACACTTCTGGTGGCCAGTTTAAAATACCAATTGTCATTCGTGGGCCTGGTGGAGTTGGGCGGCAACTTGGAGCAGAGCACTCACAGCGACTAGAGTCATATTTTCAGTCAATCCCTGGAATTCAGATGGTGGCTTGCTCAACCCCTTACAATGCCAAGGGCTTGATGAAAGCTGCAATACGAAGTGATAACCCTGTGATACTTTTTGAGCATGTTTTGCTTTATAACCTCAAGGAGAGAATTCCAGATGAAGAGTATGTATTGTCACTTGAAGAAGCTGAGATGGTTAGGCCTGGGGAGCATGTCACTATATTAACCTATTCCAGGATGAGGTATCATGTCATGCAAGCTGCCAAGACATTGGTGAACAAGGGGTATGACCCTGAAGTAATTGATATCAGGTCTTTGAAACCATTTGATCTTTACACAATTGGGAATTCAGTGAAGAAGACACATCGTGTGCTAATTGTAGAAGAGTGCATGAGGACAGGTGGAATTGGTGCTAGCCTGACAGCTGCTATTACTGAAAATTTCCATGACTATTTGGATGCTCCTATCGTATGTTTGTCCTCTCAAGATGTGCCTACCCCATATGCTGGAACATTGGAGGAATGGACAGTGGTTCAACCTGCTCAGATTGTGACAGCAGTTGAGCAGCTTTGCCAGTGATTGCTACAAAAACACGTGCAATTAGGATATGCTTTTTGGTAAAGCTACTGTGCTTGTCAAATTAAGCTAGAACCATCATCACGATTTTATCTTTTGCCTATTTTTATGTCACTTCTAAATCCCTATATTGTAATATCTGATATCCTTTACAAATTTTTTTTTGAAGAATATTTAGAACTGTTAACCCAATCCAAGGCTTTCTTAGTTGGTGTAACTGCATTTTATGTAGTGTGTAAGATTTTGGTAAGTCCTATATAAAAGGGGAGGTATTTGTAATCGATGCTGAAGCCATCAAATGTCTGTTATAGGCCTTGTTCATTTTGAATTCACTTGGATGGGTGAAGTAGTTTGTTTTCTTGGATTTTGAATATGTTCTGTTCTACTCGTGTGACCTGATTTCTGAGTACTTTTATATTATAATTCGAAGATATATTTTAGTTATAGGATTGTGTGTGTTTGCATGCATGGCCTGTCTCAAGTCAGGATATAAAAAGAGGGTTGGTGTTAGGTGTAGCGGCTGTAAAAACAGCTATATTTATGAGAGAACTCTTATGATTCTGCTACTGCTGAATATCCACCTGCACAAACATGATCAAATTGCTGAAATTTTTTGTATTCATGTAATATCTTTGCGTATTTATTATTCTAATGGTAGCCAGAGGACATTCAGTAGATGCTATTACTCTTGAACGTTTCCTTCCACTGCCAGCTTTTCAACGATTATATGCATGAAAATTTCATCATTAATACGTATTCTAGTGTTTATTGCATAGCTCAATGTTCCTCACAAATGCCTAATAAAAACAACCATGGAAGAAAAAGAGAGTTGTGTGAGAATTAAGGGAGTTTTCCTGGTAGTAGTGTCGTAGGGATCAAATGGTGGGGTGGGTCGTTGTGTGAAGCCCATTTCAGTATATGTCCGAGTAGAAGGCCATTGGACTTTATATCTATAGCAAGGATGTTGCTTATGATAAAGTGGATGACAGATTTTGAGATCCATTATTGATGTTGTTGATAGTAAGTGGAGATGGCACTGAATTTTTTTGATCTCTGGGTGTAGCCTAGGGATCCTTGCATATTGAGCTACACCCTTTCTCCTAGTTGCCAATACAATTCAGTAAAGTGGAACAGTACTAGTGAATCAATCTTCAATGTTTTTTTACATTTCCCCCCTTTTGTAATATAAAATATTTAAAAGAGATTCGAAATATGAACCAAAACTATGATGAAGACCAGTACTAAGATATCAGCAAATGAGGGTGAAAGTAGATAGTTGAGAATATATTTTGGGAAATGGCTTATTGAATGTGCCAGGTAATTATTTGACTGACAGTAGGTCCAACTCCGACAATATTCTTTTTGCCATTTCATTTGTTGCAGCACTAATTGAATGTCAGCTCGACAAAATTTGGAGTAATCTTATCAAACAGTTCTAAAAACATAGTGAGTCTCGGTGAACTGAGATCATGTCAAACTTGGAGAGTACCACGAAAATGGACATCGCTTGGCAATGGTAGTGTGTTAATATTACTATAGTATGAATAATCATCACGCAATGAGAGATCAAGCCCAAAAGTTACAAGCCCATATAAGGGATCAAAATAAAAATCTAAAGTTGCTAGTTTTGCTGCTAATATTTTGTTATGTGTGTTTTAGTGAATACTGTCGCTCAACTTTTGTTTCTGAGAAGTAGTTCATCATGATTTTAGTTAGAAATCATGTTGGTTGGATTAACTTACATTTTTTTTCCCTCTCTCTCGGGCGGGTCTAGCGAAGTCAGTGACGAGAAATCACTACCAATGGACTAAGTTGATCAAATACACCAAATCCGACACCACGTCATAACCCAAAATCGTAAGGCATTGGATTCATGGATCCTTCCACTTATATACTTTTCACTTAGCCCATTACCAATCAATGTGAGACTCATCACACTTGAATATCTCAACAATCTCTCCCTCAAGTGTAAAACTCAATATTGATATGCTCTCCCTCAACCGACTACCCAGGGCCCAAGTACTCAACCCGCCTCTTAGCCAATCACCAGGCTATTTCGAGCCTAACCCAGCTATAATATCACTGTCAAGCGAGTTCAGGAAAAGCCCGTGGCGAGGGACCATCACCAATGGACTAAGTTAGATAAAATGTTTTGGTTTTGAATTATTTGATGTTATGTTTAAAAATTTGTTTTTATATGGTCAAAAACCCACTATAGTTTCTATGGTATAAGACGAGTCTTGAATAAGCCATAAGGTTGTTTCTTGTAATTGAAACTCATTCCTGTTGTCACAAGTCGAGAAATTTTACAATGGATGTAGCCCTCTATATAGAAACACTATTTGACTTTGATATATGTAAATTATATTAGGGCAATTATTTTTTTCTTTTAAAGGAGAATTTTTTTTTCTACTAATGACTCATGATATAAGTGGATCCCATCTTAATTTTGTTTGTTTTCTCTACTATTTTGTAGAGTCCACTTATATCATAGAATCACTAGTAGGAAAAAAAATTTCCCATTGAAAAGTGCTTTGTAAGTTGATCTTGGGTAAGTTTGCCTTAACGTGGAGAACATGGCTTATGTCAAAAAAAAAAAAAAAAACTTATGTTGCTCAGCTTTCTAATACTATATTATTATCGATATTAATGTTTATCATGTTATAAGAGATAAAATTATTTGTTATACACAATAAAAATGTATGAGGCTTATATAGAACCATATGAAGAGAAGAGATAGAAAAAAATGAACTCAAACACTTTTTTATGTATATATGAGATAAAATTATTTACTACTGTACGAAAAACACTAATGAGATAAAATTATTTACTACTGTACGAAAAACACTAATCTCATTATTATTATATGTGTTGAGATATATAAAAACCATTAATGTAGCCTCACCCAACAGCTTAAGTTTTTGGGTTGAATTGGTTTTTTACATGGTATCAAAGTCTCGTGTCCCGGGTTCGAACCTCGCCGCCCCCCACTTTCTTTCTAGTGGAATTTCTTTCTTCGCACAGGTAGGTGGGCCTGTGCATTGTCCACCCTTCAAGCTCAGTGGGCTCTCGTGTGAGGGGGCGTGTTGAGATATATAAAAACCATTAATGTAGCCTCACCCAACAGCTTAAGCTTTTGGGTTGAATTGGTTCTTTACAATATGTAAGGGAAAAACTACTCTTATGTTACATGTGATAAATTTCTCTCCTACACACTCTTCGATAACTGTGCTACCTTTTTATTTTCTTTTATTTTTTATTTTTTAGGTGGGGGAGCCACAAGTTTATCTCTATGACATGAGATAACTTATCTTCTTTAACGTGAGATTAATAAAACCCTATATGTAAAACTGATCGAGTCTGACTTAAAAAGCTTCCTGTGTGACTGCAGCAATAATTGCATCTATGCTGGTGATTGGTGAAGTTTAATATACAGCCACTACGAATGAAATTCAGAGGGAATTGCTTTTTTCTTTTCTTTTCAAAAGAACAGAGTTACACAATTAAAAAAAAATCTGGGAGATTGTCATATTTATATTCTTATGTTCTCCTCCTGTCGGGGTTTTCTCTTAGAAAGAAAAAGTTGATTTTCTTGTTTCTTTGGTGGCACTGATCAATATAGTCCTTTTTTATTTGAATACCAACAAACTGAATTCCAACATATAGGGACGACAAGAAAACAATTTCTTTTAAAGCTACATATGAAGAGAACATTTATATATAACATATTGCAGCAAAACCTGAGTCTGATTCCAGGTCATGGCCGAGACATACTTATACATATTGTCGTGAATTTTTGTAAATGTGCATGTATGTGGTCTAAAAATAATTGGAGGATTGCTGATTTTATAATGTAACTCCGGGGAAAAGGTAATTAATATGCCTGGTTGTTCAGGTCCACTAGGAACAAATATTGGATACTACGGATGTGCTTATATTCTATCCAAAAAGAAAAAAAATATTTGAGACATAAATAAAAATAAAAATTAAAAGTTGGATTGGGAGAAAAAATTTCTCTTTTAGAAAAAAAAGAGTACTCATTTGGATACTCCTACATCAAAAAAGTTTTTGGACCACTAGTGACTAAGTAAGCAACTGAAATTTTAGTTAATATTTCCGCGCCAAGAGCCCAACATTGCTACCCTTTTCCAATTCATTGGTTAGCTGTTTTATGCTAAGTGGGAAAATATCAAATATACTATCGTAATACTTAATACTTACATCCGATCAATAAGAACATAAAACATGTGTTGACATTTTTTTTTTAGAAATTTTTTTTAATATTATATATATATATATATATATATATTTAAAAATATATAATTTATAATTTTATTTTGAATAAGAATCGTATCTACAGCTTAATATAACAATAATCCTAAATATGTTCTCGCTAAGTGGACATTCAAATCCAGTCACGTGAAAAAAATGAAGGAATAATATCATAAAATGTGATTTGAGTTGGCAGTACATGTTTGATTTGATATGTCTTTTGGACAACTATTTACATCGATGAAGAGTCGTTTGGCAAATGTGTTTCATTCTCAGCCACAAATTAATGTAGTTTAATAAGTAAATTGTCTTCCCCATTTTGATATGACAGAGTAAGGTGAGTTCTAAGGTGTTATGATTCACTCACTGCCTATGAGAAATGTAGTGCAGCTTTGTTATTGAATTTGGGTATCCTATATATGGAATTAATGTTCAGTATAATTTATAACTAGTTGAAGAGAGTGATATGATCATCTTTTTTCTAAACCATGATTTTCTGTGTTAGAATTGTTATTGAAGACAGTGAGTGATATTATATCACTAAAAGATTGAACCCATGTATAGAACCAGAGGAGGTAGATGATCAGAATTATCACTGTGCAATTATAAATATTAAAATTAAAGAACTGACTTACTTGAAATCAGATGATGATGCAAGCAGAATGATAGAACAGATAGAATGATATGTCAGAAGTAAAGGAATTAAATCCGAGCCCACAGAACGTGTCTCCTTAAGACAATTTGCCCCCTCACTGATGCCTAAGGTTGATGGACACTTGTCTCCCAGGATAGAACAGATTACGTCTGAAGAATGGTGGCACTATCAATCAACAGCCCAAACGAACACAACAATTGCCAGAAGAAATCACACCGGAGGATGAACAACAATATGCAAAACCGGAAGGAGAAAAATTCTGGCAGAGTTTAAGTGCAGAAAACTGGATCCATTTTATGAAGGTGTCAGTGTCTATTTATAGACACTGACCGGTCACGTTTCAAAAGGCACCTATTCGACGACGAAACAACACATCCGTTGGACACGAAAAGACACATTCGTTCAACACGAAAAGGCACCCATTCAAGGATGAAACAACATGTCCGTTAGGATGAAACAAC